GTTAGTCATTGAATGCCCCCAGGTAAAGGTAGCCAAAGAGGTCAAACTGGCAACAGACTGCTGCCTTATTCTGGAGGTGGGCTTTTTAAAAAGAAGGATAGGCTCAGTGGGGGGCCTACCGTGCAGCCTGAGGTGTATCCAAAGCCCCTCCGCTCTGTTGGGACGCCTTGTCATCTGCTCCAGGGATCTGCCCCTTTCCTCACCCTCTGCTCTGTAGTCGATGTCACTTAGAGAGGCCCTCTTGAGCTCCCTCTAAAGTAGCAGCCCCTATCACTCTTGTCCCCTTTTGCCTGTAGGTACTGGTCACTATTTGACAGCAGGGCCTGGCACGAAGTGTATACCTCAATATTTGTTGAGTAAATGAATCTGAAGAGAACGACATCAGAGTGTAAACCCAGGTCTTCTCACTCACCCTGGCCCCTATCCCTTTAAGATACTTGTGTTAGAGGGCTGAGGGAGGAAGGTTAAGGGCAAAGCAGAAGCAGGTAGATTCCAGATTTTGTTCTTTGATTAGCTCTCAAACTTTCTGTCCCATTTCAAGGTAGCTTAGTGATAGAAGGAAGAAGTTCTGAGAAATGCATGATGAAAAAGATCAGAATCTGGCTGCAAGTTAGCCTGCCGGGCTCATGCTTAACTCAGTATTGTCCCAGGGCTGCCTCCCCTCGAATTGTTGGCACCCACGCTTTATTTTAGTTCTTTCCCTCATCTTCTATTTTATGGTTTTGGCCACAGAGGATGCAGATTTAAATCAAAAGTCAGAAGTTTAGATCATTTTGAAGAGCTGCTGCTGAGTGGCCTTGCCTTGCCATTTGTTTTATTAGACTGCTTCCTGCCCTTTCCTGCATGGTCTAAAAGCTCTGTGCAGCTGGGAAGAGTGATGAGCTGCCAGGGTGTTGCCCAGAGGCCCAGGGCTTCCTGATGACATTGCATTATGGAAAAGCTGTAATAACATTCTGCTGTTTAGCCTCTTTAATCACACAGGTGATGCTGGAGGGATGGGGTGGGGGTGGGGGATGACTGTCTGGCTGCCCTGTTCCCTGGTGGCATCGGAGGTGGAGGAAGAGGAGAAGAGGTCAGGTCAGGAGCATGTTGCTCCCCCGATATGGTACTGATCCATGTCTTCTCTTCCACATCACTTGTCTTGAGGTCAAGTTAGAGTTCCTATGGGACAGATGAGGAAACTGGGGTAGGGGAGATGCTTAGCAAACCCACCAGCACTCAGAGCACACTAAGTGTGTGAGGACACAACCAGAGGACGGATATGGATCTGAACCCAATGCAGACACTGCCAGGCCCCTGTTGTCCCCTCATGCTCCCCACTGGCTCTGTATGTCTATTTCTCCCTCCTTAAGTCAGGTATCAATTTGACATGAGGCTTGTGGAGATAGAGGCTCTCATCAAACCCACTTCCTCTTGGCACAGTTAAACTACATGTCAGCCCCTGGCACCTGGGTAGGGCCACATGACTATTTCTTGCCCATAGGATGTGGATGTGCCTTCTCTGTGCTAACTTTCACCAATTAATAGCAGCCTTGTGGACTGTGTTTGAAGATGGTGGTGTCACGCGATAGAAGGAACCTGTGTCCCTGGGTGACTGTGTGGAGCAGAGGCTCTTTGCCAGCCACACTGGATTGTAATGTTAGGCTACTGATATTTGGGGATTGTTTGTTACAGCAATTAGACTAACTTTTACTAATAGCTGTGTGTTTCTCAATTCATAAAAGAAGAGAACTACCCAGTCTGGGTAAGAGAGGCTGGCCAGGAGGCTCTTACAGTCTTCCTAGCAAGAGGGAGCAGTAGAGGTAGAAGGTTCAGAGGTCCTTTCTAGTTTTCATGTTCTGGGGTTTCTCCCTTTCCATCTTAATCTCTCCTGGTGCCCCTGTATATCAACCCCCTGTGCCCAGCCCACATCACTTACAGTTCCCTGAGCAGAACACTTGACTCCCCAATTCCCATGCTTGTCGATCCTTTTCCTGGAACACCTGCCTTTCTCCATCACCTTTAAGACTCTACTCTTTCAAGGCACAGCTCAAACACCACCTCCACAATCACCCCAGGTGGCAATGAGCCCCCACTTCCTCTCCTCTACTCTGTAGCTCTCTTCACAGCTGAGCACATGGCCCTCATCCTCTATTGAAGCACTCATGATGCTTCATATGGGGGTCTTAACTCTCTTGCTAAATTATGAGGTTCTTAATGATGACATCATGATCCTCATACTTCCTTGTTTCCTATTTAGGCCCTAGTGCTGTGCTGTATGTACCAGGCACTCAGTAAATATTTGGTGGATGGAAGGAAGGAAGGAAGGACAGATTAATGAAATCACAAACAAATGAATGAGTTACTTGGCTGGATTTTCAAGTGTCTTCACCATATGGGCTCCTTCCATTTTTCTACTCTTCATTTCTACTACTCCAACAACAAAAAAATCCATTCCAAATGGGTTGATCTGTCCATAGACTCCTGAGCATGCTGGGCTTTTCCTGTCCCCCACCCTACCTCCTCTCACCCATCTCCCAGCCTCTTCTCCACTCCTGTCACCCTCCAGGCCCAGATGAAGTCTCACCTCCCCCAACAGTTTCTATGATGACTCTGCTCTCAGCGAACCTCTTCAACTTCATAGGATTGATCATCTGCACCACACAGATTAATCCTCTGTCATTGGATGCTGTCTTGTGTGGTTTATTGTCAGTTCATGTGTGTTATCTTGCCTCCTCAACTAGAATATAAGCTCCCCAAGAACTGCATCTTCCACAGCATGAGCAAAGAGACCTGCACGGAATAGGAGATCAGTATACACTAGCTGGATGTCAGATTATTTTGGGCTCCCTCATTCCTTTTGACATTTTCAGGTAAATTCAGATTGGAGACCAAAGACATATACACCGCATCATCTTCTCTTCTTTCCATACCTTTCTGTTCTTCTCCCTCTTCCCAGATTTGAATTGACTGGGTGGGCTCATCCAGCTGAGTTTCTGAATCTGCAGAGTCATGTGTAAGTTTCCAAACCACTGCAACCCCTCTGAGTTTAGTAGTCCAGTAAGAATGGTCTAAGATCAGTGGCCAACTTTGTCCCTTTCTTATAACAAACTGGACTTTTGTCAGTGTCATCTTCGGGAGGAGATGGGAACTTGGGCTGGGCCTCGAATGGTTTGGACAGGAGGAAAAAGGCCTCATACATGAAGGGCACCATGGGGTAAAGGAGTAGCTGATAGAGGGGCCATCACATAGGCAGCAATTAGGACGCAGCCCACAGAGAGCAGTTGTGGCACAGTTAGGGACGTGGGTGGGCCAGCCCCAGAAGACTAGGTTCCAGCTTATCATCTCTGTCCCATCCCCAGGCAAGTCCCACAACACTCAGAGCTGAGAATGGGTGGAGGAATGAGAAGCTAAGCCAGTGAGCTTTGGACTTGGTGGATGTGGTACCAGATTCTCAAGCAAGGAAGTGACCTGGACAAAGCAGTCTTTAGGGCTCCATCTTGTCATTAGCAGATACTTAGTTTTAGGCTGACTCCTTATTGCCACCCAGCATTCTTTGACCCTGCCATGGGCACAGAGCATGCAAATTAATTACATCATTACCTCAGCCAAACAATTTGGGTTAACCTTCTTTGAAATCCGTATAGTATATTTCAAAATTAAACTAAAGTTTTAAATTATCCAGGCCACTCTTTGATTCTATTAGTATGGATTTTGGAAAGTTGGTGGTAATTATCCACGAGAATCCAAAGCACTTAATTTTGCAATGTATAAAGTTCAAATGAAAGGATCACTTACTTCTCACGTCTGGTGCCTGCCTTGCAGATACATGCAAATATTTTATTAGCCACCATTTCCATCCGAGTTCCCTGAAGGATTGCAGGAAATTGGTGAACTGTTCTTCCTGTATACTCTAGTCACTCGTAAAATGAAACTACCATACAGTGTGATGATCAGAATAAACAAGCGGAAAGGATAATAAGGTTCACCAAATAATCACTGATGACCTCAGCAATTTTATTAACAAATTTATTTCCCTAATTGGGTAACGTATCTCAGTGCTTGACTCAAGAGCATTGTAATAATTTTCCGTACTGCAGAAGAAGGAATTAATTAGAACTGTTTGCTCTTGTTCCATATCTACACTTGTCCACCAGTCTTGTAAACATTGTCCCTGGTTTCCTCGGTCCTCCAGGTTCTTTTCTTCTGACTCCCCCAACCCACACCCAAAACAAATAAATAGGAAGCAGAGAGTACAGTTTAACATCAGTGGCGGCTCCTCATGTGCTGTCCGCCCCCTTTGGAAGCTGAGTGTCATGGTCAGAATGTGGCAGAATCATTACTTCTAATAGGCACTCAGAAATCTGTAGAGCGACCCTCTTCTCCACAGGCAAAAATGGAGAGCCTGGCGTCTTGCTTTACCAGTGCTTGTGTCTGGGCTTGTCCTTGTTCACTTTGAACCCGGGACAGAGCTTGTGAGCTGGCAGATCTGTTCCACTTCATCCTGTCCCATCTGAAACCCCTTTCAGGAAGGCAAGAGACATTTGTTAGCTTTGTCTGCCCTTGGAGTGGGCAGCCTGTACGAGGAGACAAACCGTGAACTCATCAGCTCCTTCTGCTTGAAGGCTTCTTCAAGTAAAGTTTTGTGCCTCACAGCTTGTGAGGACTGCAGCATAACAACAGAAAGGCATTTTTTGAGTTAAGTAGTCCAGAATCTCATTGGAATGCTGGCCACTAACTCATGCCGCACCCTCCAACATACTCCAAAGTGGTGCCACTTTATAGTGACTGTCCATTCTACAATGACCAGCATTAGAGCAAGATGCCAGGGTACGTGGAATTACTTCCAGAGCTGATTTCTTTAGCAGCTGTTAATGTAGTCTGCCATGCACAGAGATGGCTTTTGAAGGTAAGTATGATTTTTACAAAGACATCTAAGGGGTGTCAAGACTACTCTAGCTACCAGTAGGTCCCTTTCTGAGGTCTGTAGCCCAGAGGACTTCATATAAGCCTGAGAAGTTTCATTCCCCCTCTTGGATATTCTGCAGGATCCCAATGAGGTTTTCCAGGCCAAAAATGTAGCCAGGATCTGGTCCATCATAGGTAATGTGCTCATTCCAGGAGCCCTTGTATGTTGTGTGAGCAAAGTCAATCATCCGGACATCAACTTTGGTGAGATCCCCGGGAGAGCTGCCATGGGCCATCTGCGAAGCCTCCTGAGGATGCAGGCTCCCTGGGGTTCTTTCCAGTGGCTCCTGCCCATCGTAGGTGATGAGGAGAGAGCTGGAGTAGAACCGGTACGAACTCTGACTCCTAATGACCGAGAGGAGGGCCCGCAGCTGATGCAGGATGGGCTCCAGGAGCTCCCTCCGGAGGCGGGTTCCGTCATGCAGGAACTGGTAGAGGGCTTGTCTGAACCCCTCCACTGAGAGTTTTCTTCCGTAGTATTTGTCTTTGCAGAGAAAATGCTTCTTATCCGTTTGGTAAACCTTACATTAAAAAGAAGAAAAAGAAAATATGAAGAATTGCAAACTTAAGAAAAAGTTGCATCTGCCATGTTTGCAGCATCACAAGCTAACATAATATAGGAACAGATTTCCAAGAGATACAGGGCGGGAGTGGCTGGAATGAGCAGAGGATGATCTCCCTTCAAGCACCAGTGTAGCTTTTACATTTTAAAATACTATCTGTGCAAGTCTTTAATAGTAACCCAAGGTGTAGTGATCCTTCACCCTACAGAGGTGACCCTCTACCCACGAGGAAAACATTTGGATCTCCTTTCTTGTGAATTTCTAATGTCAACCTCCAAATCATGATTTAAGCCCTGGCTTCTGGCCCTCTACAATTCAAATATCAGCAAACCCAAGCTAGAAAACTTTAGTAGGAATCTGAAATCACAGCCAATGGCCTTGGAAAGCCAACTAGATTAAATTTTCCCTAACAAAGTTTATAAAGCCCTTTCTCTGCAGATTCTAAGGAAACAGTAATGGCTCTTGAGGTGGAGTGAGATGAATTGTTTAAAGATATAATGATGGGCTTGGTCAGGTGTAGACAGAGTTTTTAGGCAGCCCATGCAGCTGAGGGGAGCCTTGGTGGAGGAGGAATGTTCATAGCTCTGTGGGGTTGGTGACTCCCCTCCTTGGCACCGTGTCTCTTCCCTTCCCCTGTCATGTCTTGGCCACCAGAAGGGAGCAGATGGAAGAAATGCTGGTGAGGGGACAGTGGCAGACACCCCCATTTCCTTCAGATGGCACAGGCAGCAGCAGAAGCCGAACCAAGGCCAGAGGGGGACTTGGCACACCTCTGCTTGGCACACCTGGGAAAGGCTGCCTGTACCAGGCCAAGACAATTTCCCAGGTCTTTCCTGCCTTCAAATTACATGATATGTTTACAGAAAACCAGCAATAAAAAATCAGAAAGATATGATAGACTTGGTGTTGCCTTTGGAGGACTGGAGATCGGCTGTTGAATTAGCCATCATACTACATGACAGGCATCACTTTCTAAATAAATCACATCAATTTCAGAAGATTTGAGATCCAGAGAGAGATTCCATTTACACCACAAATCATCACACTCCATTCTCTTGAGAACTGTATTCCAAGTCTTCCAAGGGACCTCTGTGCAACAAATTTATAGACTCAACTTCCAGCTTCAAATGGTGGCAGTTTCAATTAAGGAAAGCTATAATGTTTACCGTCAAATTGGTGTCTCGTTTTGCTTTGAGTAGACAGACTAAGAGTGAACGAGTGGAGAAAGTTTATTTCCTCCTGTTCTCCTGCAGCCCTTGCTGTAAGCCACAACAGAGCAGCAAAAATAAGCGTGGAGTCTGGGCAGTACAAAAATTAACCATTCCTTTGCCTGGAGTTAGCAGGTTATGACCTTCCTGCCTTGTTAACCAGAACGGGTAGCAAAAAAAAAAAAAAAAAAGGCAGAGGGAACACTTATTCTATTTTATGGAATAACGTGTTGCCCAATTCTAGAATCACAATAAAGCCAATTGAGATCTTTAAAAAAATAAAAGGCAGAAAAGGTGGATTAAGAAAAGGAAATGGCTAATAAGAACTCAAAGAGCAGACTGCCATGCAGCATCTGAGGAGAGGGTTGAGCTTCATCATTCAAGAGAATGAGGAATCAGGAGCCCCGAGTGCAGCACCAAGAAGCTCTTCCTCTCAGTTCTTTCCCCAGCCCCTGCTCACACGCTGTCATCAAAGCTCTGCTCACAGCATGGACAGGACCCACGCGGCCACTGTGGAAAGTTTCAGCTGCCAGAGACTGTGAGACCATATTCAAAATGGTGGGGTTTTGTCACTGCTATCCTGAAGGGTGCTCTTAAAAAACCCAGCTAGGCACAGGCCAGGACATGCATTTCCTTGTGGAAGGAGTGGTTCTCGTCCTTGTCCTCTGTGGCTCCCCCAAAGTGAAGGCTCTGCAGGGGCCAGTGGTGTCTGGATGGGAGGCACCCTTGTCCCGCAGTGGACACTCCAGGGTCCCCGCCCCCCCAGGCGGGCCCTCTGCGACCTACCTGCATGCCACAGATGCGCACACCCAGGCGGGCTGAGGTGCTCTGCGCACACTTCCGCATGTGACGGGCCTTCTTGTCCTCAGACGCGTCGTCCCCGTGCTGCCGGGTCCCCATCTTCAGGTCCAGGATGCAGGGATGCGTGTACTGTGACACTACATTTTCCAGCAACAAAAACCCTAGTCACACTAAGTTAAGGAAGGCTGCAAGGACACCAGGGCTGCTGTCCCACCAGCTGCAGTCAGCACGCCTGGAAGCTGCCTGGAAGTTCCCTCACTCCCATTTCCTTCCTTATGGACAACCCATCCTTGCTATTAAGTATTCAAGGTATTAGCGTTGCAGGGTGCTTTAATAAGCCCATTTATTTAGGAGGAGTTTATGAGTATGTGGGTGGAGTAAGCTTTTTTCCGTTCTCCGTTTTGCTCTGAGGTGGAAACTTAAATGCAGGTGTGAAATCCCTGGCAGACCATGCCTCATTTACATTTTATGGCAGAAAATCATAAGGCTAAGACCTCCAGTCACTGAATGGGCCAATACCTTTTGGGAGAAGTGGTTTGATGTTAGCTTTGGAGATGAGTTGCAGGAATATTAATTTCAGTGGAGTAATTATCCTGCAAAAGCTTCTTAGGGATTAGGGTTGCAAATGTGTCTTAGTAAATACTGTGGAACCAGCCGCCCGTTTGCGGGAAGGAGCACAGCAGTGATGAAAGGGGCATTTCAAACCAAAGTTTGCTCACTGAGAATGTGGTAGCCTGTGGGCGGGGGCGTCTACCTCCTCTCAGAGTCCACCCTGGGGCACTTTCCTGATGAAGGAACCCCACTCCCTTCTCACCCGTGGACCTATGGGAAGATGCCTGTGGGGAGAATTTAGAGGGACAGAATGGAGGTTGGTGCAGGGGACCCAGTGTGGAATTAATCATTTCTGTCTGCCCAAAGAAGCCCCCACCCCATCCCATTCTCTGTGTGTGTGTGTGTGTGTGTGTGTGTGTTTTTCTCCTCCTGCCCCTGCCCCATATGGCTCTCTGTCTCTTTCTATCTGTCCCCCCTGCCCCCTTCTGGGCACACCTTCCTGCCCTGGGGACCTGGAGTGGTGGGGAAGGAGGACAAGGATACGGTGCCGCTTGTTCTCCGGGTACTCGGAGCACAGGCGGGTCAGGTGTGCCTGGTGGCAGTTCAGGCCCCATGGATTAAAGCTCTTCCTCTCGACCTGGTTCCCATTAGCATCTTCAACCAGTGAGGACACTTGTGCATTTAGATGGAGCTTGGACCTCAGGAGTGCCTTGGCTGGGCTGTGGGGGAGGGGAAAACAGGGTGGTCAGGGCAGCATGGGCCAGAGGTCTGGGAGGCACCTGTGCCTATGACTGCCTGGGCTCTCTGGGACAAGCTCTGACAAGGGCTGTTCCTGGATGCTCTCCAGGATGGCTTTCTCCAGGCTGCCGAAGCACGCCACTGGGCCTAGAGTGCCTTCCCTGCCGAACGCCATGCAGGGGGTTTCTGCAACCGCCAGAGTTACTCATTACAGTGTGTCACCCCTCAGATGACTGAGGTGATTTAAATTCACTTGTAAGTGATCTGGATTATTAATGATCTTACTACTGAGGTGACACGTTATGCAGACAGCATCCCCACCTGGGATCGCAAGGCTGTGAGTTTAGACTCTGATACTCTGGCATGTCGCTATCTCCTTGAGACCTCAGTGCCACAGGGCATGGGGTGAGGGTTAGGGCTGTGGGAGTCTAGAGCCTTGGCCTGCCTTTGCAGCATCTTGGCATCCCCATCTGTGAAATGGAGATAATGTGCACGCTTCCTGACACCGAGCCCTAGTGCTCCTTAGGGAAGGGAAGTATTTTCATTGTATTAGCTCCCTTTTGTTTCCCATAAATGTTTTAAAAATCCCCAGGGATCCTTTTCATCTGGGAAAGGTCAGCTAATATTCTCAGAGGCTTTGGAGTCCTCTCCAAGGCCTCAGGTGCCTGAGTGTCCTTTCCAGGGACCCTCTGAGTGCATGCCAACTTCTCTCCTTGTCCCGTCCTGACTGCTAAGGAAAGTGATGATTTCTGAAAGCAATTGACCACACTTTGCCTTTATATAAACTATTCTAGGGTTTCTGTTCTGCACGTTTCCCCCTCCAGAGACACTTCATGGTCTCAGTGAAATAGGTATTTAATTAAGCAAATATGTATCGAATACTACTCTGTGTGGAACTCTGCCTATGCATCAACTTTTGAAATGAAATACATCATAATCCTCCCTCTAGAAATGGCATAAAAGAAAATCCATTCCTTTCTTTGGTCACTTTGGTTATTCTAGACAGAACCTTCATCTGAATTTCTCATTCTTTTGGTGCCAGCCCTAATGGGGAGCGGCTGGGCTTGAGCACTGGTAGGAGTGGTGCTGGTCCCTGCGAGGGTCAGCTGCCCAAGTGTCTGTCATCCTGTGCAGTGGCTCTCACCTCTCCTTGAGTGAGTGTGCCAGCTGGGCATGCTGCTGATGGTTGAGTGGGTGGGTGCCGCCATTGCCACTGGGGGTCTGCTGGAGCGTCTGCCAAATTGCCACTGCTGTTGACTCCGTGGAGATCTTGAAGGGCTCCTGCCTCTCCTTCAGTGGGCTGGCGACCAGGCTGAGTTGGCCCATGCTGTCTTTCCAGAGGTGCACTGTGATGGTGCCTGCAGAACACACGAGGAGAGGAAGGGGAAGAGAAACCAGATGGAATGCACCTCTAAGTGGATGTGCTGCAGTGGGTGACAGCGTTTAGAATTGTAGTTTAATGGCACTGGTCAACTGCCCCTCTTCCCCAAGGCTTCTCCCAAGGAAGAGCTGTGGGGACTGGCCTGGTTTAGCCTGAACCCGATCCTGTTCCAGAGTGAGCCCAGAGCAGTGGAGGCTGCAGAAATAGCTTTCAGCTGATCTTGGCACATCCTCTGCTTGTCCACTTCTCTGCCCCTCCATGCGTCAAACAAAGCCAGCCCTGTACATTTTGTTCTCGCGTTCTGACCACTCACACCTTCCCAGTCATGCCACAGCCAACCCATCTGTGCCTAGCCTGGGGTGGAGGTGGGGGTCAGAGCTGATCCTTTGCACAGGGCCTCCCCACCTCAGAGTGAGCTCAGGGTAGTCGGGGCCCATCCCGTTCCTGCCCCTTCTCCTTTGCCTCCTCACCCTCCTTTCTCCTCTGTTTGTCTTTATCTGGCCAGCTTCTTCCAAGAAGCCTCCTGGGGCTCAAGCCTCTCTGTCACCCCTTCATCTACCCTCCCCATCTCCCTGCCTTTCACTCCGAGGCTCACCATTTCCTGTGGTTAGATGCATTGGCACATGAAGACTATTGGTGGAACATGGTTCTTTGATGAAATAAGAGACTTGTGAGATTTCCCCAACTTATGGTACCTCCCTACCATCCATGTTTGCAATCAAGGCACCAAAACTGCTGGCTGTGAAAATGAAGAGTACCTGGAAACCCACTTAACAATCGTGCTCATTGGTTTTCTCCCCCAAGATATTGGCCAGGCCGGGTAGTTAGCTGTGGCAGGCACGTCGATGGCTCTGTGGTCGCCCTTTAGGTTCCCCGTTCTGTTGGCAAAGCCCAGGCCTCCCTCCTTGGTGCTTGGCCTCCAGGGGGTACCCCATGGCTCCCCGCCTCCACTATCTACCCCTCTTTGTCCTGCTTTGTGCTTGATGGGCTGACCCTAGGGAGTGCCCTCCATTTTCCCCGTGAGTTTGGCCAGTGGTGGGTGGGTGGAGGAGGGCGGGTTGGGTATTTATTCTGCTGCTCCCTCCTGGCTTCGTATTTGTGCCCTGCTGTGCGTCTCCATGGCCCCCACTCTTGCTGGCTTGGTGGCACCGTTCCCTCACTGTGGCCTTCAGGCCTGGGCTGGTTACAGCTTTCCAGTGTGGCTAGCCGCTGGGTGCCTCCCCACCCCTTTTTGTTCCCTGAATCCTGCATGCACTTCTGCAAATAGTCCCTTTTTATAATGATCTTTATTTAAAACCGTTTGAATGTACCATTTGTTTTCTGCTAGGACCCTGACTAAGAGGGTGGGCTGCATGTTTGTATGTCCTCTGAGGCATTTTTTTCCTCCCCCAGCCAGTTGGTCACCTTCTGGGAGTAAGTGGCAGTTTCTGCTGAGCAAGCAGTAAGGGCAGCTGATTTCCTGCTGTGTCCTGCCTGGCCCTCTTGGGCTGCCGGTGCAGACACGAATTTTCAGGGCTGCTCTGTACTTCAGCAACCACTCTCCAGGGCCATCTGTACCTAGTTCAGCAGTCTCCTTGGGCCAGTCCCATCATCTCAGATTCCCTGTGCTCTCATTTTGCAGCTGGAGAGTCATATTCAGTCCTCTCCAGCTCCTAAAAAAACTGTGCCAGTCTGGGCTCCTGTGTCCTGTGAAGTAATCATGATAGTAATGATAATACTGTACTGAGCCTGATGTTCTGCAGTTGACCAGACACCAGCATTTATCCCTAGGCCAATCTCACCATCACTGTTCTGCTCATGAGGGCAAGGGGCTGACACAGGTGGGGGACATAATTACAAAGTAACCATAACCGCCCTGTCTTTCTTGCCTGCTGTGCATGGCACTGTGCTGCTTTTCATTTGTTACCTCTGATTTACAGCAGGCCTATAGGGCCATTGATGATGGACACTGAGGCTCAGAGACATTGATAACCTGCCCCAGGTTGCACAGTTGGTATGGGCTGGAGCTCCAAGAGGGCCACACCAGCTGAGACTATGGAAGAGAGGCTGTTGCACAGAGCCAAGAACTCTATTGGGAGGGTTTGGTGTTGTCATGCTATGTTTTACCCCCTGTGTGCGTGAGGAACACTCCTGCTGTGCCCCCACCACATTTGTCCTGGTCATTCTATTTTGTGGGGGAGAATAAAGAAGCCGTGACTCCACCACCTCAGGAGAGGGTCATCAGCTCAGGGGGCCGGAGTACCAAGAAGCGCAAGGACATGGTGTTTGCATTTCCAGCCCAGGGTCCTGTGGGAAGGAGGGTTGCTGTGCTTGTTCTAGGAGGGAACTGACCTTCTGGAAACCAGCACTAGGCCCCAGAGCCTAGCTCTCCATGTGTGAGAAGTGGGCAGAGCTGCCTGGGCTCTGCACTTACCCTTGGGGAGCCTGGGAAGGTGTGCCGGCCAATGGCAGGACCCTTCTGGGTCTTGTAAAGTTCAAGCTACATCCGAAGGCCTCCTAGCCTTTTCTAGTTGTGGGGCTATGGTGACAGGCCTGCCAGAAATCTGTCTTGGGGAGCTCTGGGCCCAGAAGGCCTCCCTAGAGGGACAGGAAATGTGACCTTCTCCCACTTCTCCAGGCTCCAGCTTTGTCTGATCTCATCAGTTCTGAGTGTCTGAGTAAATGGAGGAGAGCAGAGGTGCAAATAACCCAAAAACAATAAAATCCCAAAGTCATTTCCATTTCTCATATTGTCAGAGCTACACAGTCAGACTCTGAGTCCCTGCCTCTCTCTCCATCTTTCCGTGTGCCTCTGATGGTGGTGTCTATCTGTCTCTTGTCTGTCTCTCCCTGTTTCTCTCTCTCTCTCTCACACACCCCTCTGTGGCTCAGCTCAGCTCTTTCCTCTGAAGCCAGGGACCCCTGGAGCTCACCCACAGCAGATAGCTCCCTTGTGAACAGTCTCAAGTTGCCTGTACTTGGCAGAGCAGCATGTCAGCAACATGTCCAGTCCACACTGACTTGTTCTTTTTTTTTTTTTTTTTGTCTTTTTTCCGTGTCCGGCAACGGATCGCAACCCTCAGTGTTGCCCCCGTACCGGACTGGGGACCGGCAACGGAATCGCAAGCCTCGGCGCTGCTCCTGCGCCTCGCTCAGCCAGTGAGCGGGAGCCGGTCTGTATGTGGGATCCGAACCCTCGGACGGGAGCGCCACTGCGCTTCCCAAGCGGCGCACTATCCAGTGCGCCACCGGGCCGGCCCCTGACTTGTTCTTTTAATCAAGAGCCACGTCAGTTCCAGCCTGGCCTCCAGCTTGTCCTGTGCGTCTGTGGGGGTTAGGCTGCACAGGCCCACAGGTTCCCAGGGCTCTGCTGACCAGGAGCCCCTGCCAGGGCCCATCTGCCTGCTAACCAGCCCCCCCATGCACTTGGCCTGAGAGCATGACAGCCAGGCCACAGGAGTGCTTACTACCACGGCTGGCATGCCCAGAGCATCTCAGTAATTTCAGTTTGGCCGAGCCACTTCCTGAGCCTCAGTGAATATTCTGTCATGTATTTATTTTTAAGCTTATGAGAGCATTTACTCGCCACTGTCTGTAACATGAAATCTGGCTCAACCATTAACCAATTGAGCATGTCCTCATTTGCCCAAAGCTGACAGGCAGACTGGGAGGCAGAGGGATGTGGCCCCTGGATGCTGTCCGGCCCGGGGAGCCTGGTAGGTCCAGGGCCAGCTTCTAGCACAAGGAGGCTGCCCTTTGGAATGATGTCCCTGCTGCCATTGTGGTACAGGGCAGCCAGAAGGGAGAGGTGTGCTCTGCGGCTTGCGGTGGCCACTTTAAAAATGGCCCCTCTCTGGGGGGCTGTTTCTATGAGAGAGAAAAAGGGAGACCCTTGTGGCAGCCTTGTGGGCATTCAAGTCCCCCTGACCTGAGGTCACTAGCTGAGTGACCCTAGGTAAGTCTTGCCCCCTCCCTCCTTGGGCTCTGACCCCCGAGCACTGACACCCCAAGTCCCTCCTTCAGTAACAGTGTAGCTGGGAGGAGTGGGCCTGTGTGGCCAAGAGCCCGCACTTGGGAGCCAGACTTCGGGGCTTCGAATCCTGGCTCTGCCTCTCACTGGCTGTGTGGCCTCAGGCAAGCCAGGTAACCTCTCTGTGCCTCAGTTTTCTCATCTATGACAGGGAGATAATAAAGGAACCTACCTCAGAGGGTTGCGAGGATTATGTGAATTAGGACATGGAGATCAGAGTAGACACCAAGGGTTAGCTGATACTACTTTTCTTATCGGGCAAAGCAGCAGCCTGCACAGCCTGAGAGCCCCTTCCCATCTACAACCTGACCTTAGCCACCTGTCCTCCTCCAGCACCCCAGGTGTTTGAGAAGGTGAGAGTCCTGGTTCTAGGCCTTTTCTCATGTCTCCTTAAATGTGTGTAGTATTTTAGTTGGTACTTGGACAGTGGCCCTGCGTGAGTTGTGTTCTGGTCAGTGAGTGAATCAGCATTTCTGCTTCATCCAAACCTCATGCTTGGGTGTCACCCCAGCCCACAGGCTCGGCCTGCCCCTCACCCACAGGCAGGGTAGGTGGTCAGTTATGTGGTCCCATCCCAGCAGTGTCATGAGGTTCCCTGACCCAGGTCCTGTCAGAACTTGTATAGAAACACCATCTCCTGTGTGAAGACCAGAAGGCAGAGGCTGAAGCATCCCGTGGCCATTGATACATTTAGTTATGACATGTTGGCTTGAATTAATGTATTGAGTTAGGGCAGGCCCAGTGGTGCACTGGAGAGTGCGCCGCTTGGGAGTGTGGCGGCGCTCCCGCCGAGGGTTCGGATCCCATATGGAGACCGGTTCCCGCTCACTGGCTGAGTGCGGTGCGGACGCAACACTGAGGGTTGCAATCCTGTTGCCGGTCCCTGGTATGGGTGCAACACTGAGGGTTGCGATCCCGTTACCAGTCAGTAAAAAAGACAAAAAGGGAAAAAAAAAAATGTATTGAGTTAGCAGAGCCCCAAGGGGAGGTGACACCAGGATGGGCCCACCCTGAAAGGGGAAGCAGGGCAGAGTAGAGGTCCAGACAGTAGACCAGTACCCAAGAGCACCTGAAAGTGGTGCCTCCTACCCCCACCGGAGGCCTGACCATGTGCAGACAGGGAGTAGGGGAGGGGGCCCGGATAGGTCTCCTGAAGACCAGACCAGCCTCTTCCCCCTCCTGCTTTGCCCGCAACTGCCCTGACAGTCCATCCCAACTCCAGAGCTGTGTTGAGCAAGCGTGAAATTCTGCTGGCAGGAGGCTGTCCCATGCAAGGTGCTGCCACCTCTTTGCTGGGTTGAGCTCAATTGTGAATGGACAGACATTAATTCCAGTGGGTGATCTGATAAGATGGGCAGTGACCCACAACCAGCCAAGCAACACTGGCTTGCGGCCCTGGAAGACGAAAGCCCGCACCCTGCATGACTCTCAGCATGGGACTCTGGTTGGTGTTGTCTCGGACTCTCAGGAGGTCCTGCAGGCAGGTGTGAAGCAGTGCTTGGAGACAACACAGGGGTTCAAGCCCTGCTCACTCCCTGCCAGTGGTTCTCAATCTGCACCATGCTCAATGCTGATTCCTGGGCCCTGATCCCAGGGATTCTGATTGACAAGTTTGCAGTGGGGCCTGGGAGTCTTCGTACAGACACACACACACGTGCACACGTGTACACCTGATTCTGGCAAAGTTGGTAGACTCCAGATCACACTTTGAGATACACTAGTGTAGATAGGCCCCTTCCTTCCCAGTTGTCTTTTTTTTTTTTTTTTAAAGATGACCGGTAAGGGGATATTAACCCTTGACTTGGTGTTGTCAGCACCACGCTCACCCAGGGAGCAAACCGGCCATCCCTATATGGGATCCGAACCCGTGGCTTGGTGTTATCAGCACCACCCTCTCCCGAGTGAGCCACGGGCCGGCCTCCCCTTCCCAGTTGTCTTTTTTTTTTTTTTTAAAGATGACCAGTAAGGGGATCTTAACCCTTGACTTGGTGTTGTCAGCACCACGCTCACCCAGGGAGCAAACCGGCCATCCCTATATGGGATCCGAACCCGTGGCTTGGTGTTATCAGCACCACCCTCTCCCGAGTGAGCCACGGGCCGGCCTCCCCTTCCCAGTTGTCTTTTTTTTTTTTTTTAAAGATGACCAGTAAGGGGATCTTAACCCTTGACTTGGTGTTGTCAGCACCACGCTCACCCAGGGAGCAAACCGGCCATCCCTATATGGGATCCGAACCCGTGGCTTGGTGTTATCAGCACCACACTCTCCCGAGTGAGCCACGGGCCGGCCTCCCCTTCCCAGTTGTCTTGATCATTGAAATGCAAGTGGGTTTTTGTCTGACTTCTTTGGATGTTATCACCTTCACCACAGACACTTCAACAATGAGGGCAGCAGCTTGCAGACATAAAATCTAAAATCCTTTAAAGGAGGTCTTTTCTCTGAGCACTCATCCTATTGCTGGGGCAGCCTCCTTGCACAGTTGTGCCCCGAGCCTCATTCACCAAGGGCTGGGTGTGGACAAGTCAGCCTGCCTAGAGAGCCCTCCCCACTGGCTGTCTCTCCCCAGAGCCCACCTTGTGCTCAGATCCAGAACACATGCCATCCATGCAGAAGTTTCCCCAGCCACACCTGGATGGTTCCCCTGCCTTTGCCCGTTCCTGGATGAGGGCGGGAATTCTGATTTCCTAAACAAGCCATGTCCCAGCTTCTCCATGCCCTGTCCCAGGCCTGAGGCTCCTGCCACCTGCCTGGGTGTGCGGAGGGAGGTTAGGGGGACCTTAACCTGTCCTGTGTCTATAGCCAGAGTCACACAACCACCCATGACACCCACAAGGCAGAGACCAGCATGCCCCCTCAGGGCTGGGTGGGACTGGGATATTGTTTTATTCCATTCTTACTTTCTTAAAGCCTGATGGCTTGAGCTAATTTGTAGGGAAGCCAAATGGCATTATTCTGCAGACATGGGGACTTGAAGAGTTCAGAGAAATGCGGACAGAGAGGGCCAGCCTGGCTGGGAGAGGGGGCCCATCTCCATGGCAACCCTTAGACCCACCCATAGCACACGAGGAAGTGGTGGGTGCATGCAGATGCGCTGGCCTGGCTGCCAGACAGACACTCACCTTTGTACTGTGGGGTGAACTGCTTCATGGCCAGTGGCAGGGACTCGTAGAACCTCTGCTCCCGGGAGACGAGGGGCTTGCACACGGTGTGCTCGTCATACTTCATCACGCTCAGGTGCCCCCCGACCTGGTGCAGGAAGGGCTCCAGCCGCACACCCACCCTGGCATCGCCGGTATCCACACTGTCCTGCACCACCATGGTGCCGCACGGGGAGTGGGTCACCTGCTAAATCTGTGAGAGGAAGGTGTAAGGTAGCAGAAGCAGCTCCTGGACAGAACGCTGGGTGGTCAGCAGTCCTCAGCTTTCTCTTTCTTGGCCTTTGTTGCTGTCATGGCCCAGTTGTCTTCCTGTCTGTGGGCTCTCTGGAAGCAGAGGAGGAAGGTGGGAGTTATATGAGGGAGTGGGGTGCTGGGAGAGGTGGTGCTTGGAACGGGCTGCACGGAGTCCAGCCATGACCCAGAACAGGTTCCTCACTGGTAGCTAAAACAAGACTGTAAATGTGCATCCACTACTTCTGGAATAATCAGTTACTAGAAACCATGGTTATATGTATCCTAATACAGTGGCTGCCTCCATGGAGCAGGGGTGAGAGGGACACTTTAAATATCCTTTTGTACCTTTCAAATTTAAACATGAAACATTAAAACATTAAAAAAAAAATCAAACAACCCACACAACTGTAAGCTTCCAGAGTGCAGAGACAGTGTCTTAACTTCTCTTGTCATGTTGCCTGCCTGTCTGCCTTCTTTTGGGAACATTGATCCCAGCCCATCAAAAAGCGAGTGGAGGGCTGGCCCGGTGGCGCACTGCTACAGTGTGCCGCTTGAGAGCGCGGCGGCGCTCCCGCCCGAGGGTTCGGATCCCACATCCAGACCGGTTCCCGCTCACTGGCTGAGCGAGGTGCGGGAGCAACACCGAGGGTTGCGATCCCATTGCCGGTCCCGGTCCGGTACGGGCGCGACACTGAGGGTTGCGATCCATTGCCGGACACGAAAAAAGACAAAAAGGAAGAAAAAAAAAAAAAAAAAGCGAGCGGAGCCCCTGCTGTTGGGACACTCACTGTCTTGTGAGAGATTGGGGGTACAGGAATGCTTTATTTTTGTACAGCATAACTTTGCACCATTGATTTGCATCACGGCTCCACTACATAATTGCTGTGTGACCTTAGACAAGTTACTAAGTCTCTCTGGGCCTCAGTTTCCCCATCTGTAGAATGAAATAATGATATCTACCTCAAGAAGTTAGGGACAGAATTGAGATAAGACCTGTGGAAAGGTTAGCCCAGTGCTCAGAGCAACGTGCTCAATAAATATGATTTATCATTATTATTTCTAGCATTATGGCCACAGTGTCATATTTCCCCAGCAGCTCTGGTTTGCCGGAAAGGTAGGCTTGATCATCACCACTGTGCACATGAGGGAAGAGAGGCCTGAAACGCCTCGCACAGGGCCACGGCTGGCCGGAGCAGCACCGGAGCAGCACGGGAGGTGACACTGGGGCCTCCTCCTCTCTGGGGCCTGGTCCTGTGCTCCTGTGCTGCTCTTTTTTCCCTCCCTGAGGGCCAGCTTGCTGGGTCTCAGGCAAACAATGGAACTCTGGGCTGGAAGTGCAGTCCCTGCAGACATCCTGACTTTGTCTCAGGAGAGTGCCGAGGAGACACTGCGAGGGGAGGTTCTTCTTGCCCTATTCGTCCTTTCTGAGAATGTTCCCACAGCAGTGCCCATCACCACTGAGTTATTAATATCCTTTCCCTCTGCTGGACTCCTGGCCATGGATGAGACCAGGCTGGGCAGCAAAGGGCATGATTAACCTTCTAATTGACCTTCAGTCCAGGCCACGGGCACGGCCGGCTGGCTCCATGCCCAGTGGTGCCCATCAGTTTGTTCAGGCCCCTGGCTCAGAGAGGCTCCTGCCAGCCTCCTGGGCCTCCAGCACACTGGCATGGAAAGCCTTGGCCTGGCTTGTTCAGTCCCAGCACAGGACCTCTCCTGCATCAGCTACTGCCCTGCAGCCAGAAAGTGCCCCTTTAGGAAAGGGAAGGAGTATGGGTTCTGCCTGGCGTGTGTGCATCTACTTTGCAGGAGGCAGAGTGAGGCTTCCAGGGGCCAGCTGCAGGATGCAGTGAGGCTTCTGCAGAGCTGGCTACAGGATGAGAGTGAGTCTTCTGGGGGGCTGGCTGCATGGCTTGAGTGATAGGGAGACTGGGGTTGCTGGGATGCGGAGGACTGAGGCCTGGTGGTGAGGGGCTGTGGTGGTGAGCTCTGCTTTAAGGCAGCGCAGGGGTGATCCCTGCTTGGGAGCCTGTTCCATGAGCTGAGAAAAGAACTTGGTGGGAGGCATCTAGACGTGGATGGAAATCGGCCCACAGATGAGTTGATATCTTCAGTTTGATAACCCTTTGGTGATGAGACAAGATATCATAGTTGCTTGGCAAACCCAGTTCTACTTGCAAATCTGGAGAAGGCAAGAAGGCAGAGATGAGAAAAACCAAGGCAGGTAGACACATCTCCTCTCGCTGTGCTCACCTGTGTGTTGGTCTTTGCCAGCTGACCTGTCCCAGGCAGAAGTGCTTCTGGTAACCAGGTGGACAGCTAGTCTGTAAATGCATCTACTGCCCCTATGGAAAGAGCCCAGGCTCCCGTCCTTCATGCTTGTCTCCCCAGGGCTCGGCTGCACTGACCATGCCTGGCATTGCTGGACAACAGCCCAGCTCTGCCGACACATCCCAGCATGTCCCATGTGGGTCCTCATGCTGCTGCACTGGGAAGTCCACCTCCCCTCTTCTTTCCCCACACTCCTGTCTCCCAAGGAGCTCTAAGGACATGGATGTCACCTCAAAGTGGTGGCATGGGGAGGAAATAAATGGAAACACATATAGCACTTGCTGTATGCTGGGCACTGTTCCAAGTGCTTCATACAGATTAACCCATTTAAGCTTCACAACTACCCTACGAGGTAATTAGTGTTACCAGCCCATTTTACAGATGAGAAAACTGAGGCACAGAGAGGTTATGCAGCTTCCCTACGTGCACCCAGGTAGTATGGGGAGAGCAGGGATTTGAACAAGCCACATTAGCCCCAGAGTGCACTCACTCACCATATGTGGGGAGACTGAGGGTTGTTATCTACTTTAAAAGTCAGAAAATTGAGCCCCAGGAGGCTAGGATTTGGCCAAAGTCACCTGCTAGTCACTGGCAATGCTGGGACAGCCCATGCCTGGACCACCCCCCTGGCTGGCCCTCCCACCCTGCTTGATGACATTAAGTGCATATCCTAGCGGTGGGTGGGCTGGAGGTGGGAGCATTATGCCCCCACCTCAGCAGAAACCATCATGAGGGCTGAGGCAGGAGGCCCACCTAGAGCTGGGGCTTGGTGTTGACCTTCTACGGGGATCTTTCAGCCAGACCTGAGAGGCACTGTCATTCCCAGCACTGAATTGGCTCCTGCTGCAGCCTTTTGATTCTCTCTTCACCTCCATTGTCAGGTGTTCTCAGGAGCCCTGGCTGAAACTTCTCAGAGAGCAGAGTGAGCTAGGAAGACCCTTAGGCCTCAGCACAGCCACTGCGCAGCAATGCCCACTCTCCTGCCCTGGATTGCGGCAGGTTGACAGTGACTGGGTGTCTGCTGGGAAGCCAGTCTGTGCTTTTAAAAAAAGCTGGACCTCATAGCTGGGAAAACTGAGGCCCTTTCTCTTGAGGTCATCTTAGGGTATAGATTAGGTGGCCTCTGAGCATCCTTCCGCTCCTGAACTATATGATCTGCAGTTCTGGCACAAGTTGATGGGGAGGGGCAGAGGGAGGAGGGAGGAGCAACGGCTTCAGCCCTGGAGCACCAGCCTGAGCTGGGCAGGGTGGGCTTTGCCACAGCTCGGGGAGGCAGGCTGTGGGTTGCCCTTGGCACTGATCCTGACCTCAGATTCCCAACGAAGCTTGAGCTTTTCTGTCAGTTCCTGCCTCTGTGTGCAGCCTCCAGCTCTGTGGGGTTGAGCTTGGGAAAGCTTCTGTTCTTCCCAGTCCTGCTGTGCAAGTCCCAAATAAATAATTCAAGCTGACAGGACCTCTCTCAGCCCAGACCTTCCTTTTGCCACATGCCGGCACTTCTTTCGTCGGCATGGGCCTTGACCTTTGATCATTGCCCCTGGGTTCTGTGCTGTTGCCTAGGAGCACTGGGCAAGGAGTTGTGAGCCCAGAGTCTCTTCCAGGCACTCCCACCATTCTGAGGCCTCTGGGATGAACCGGGTGACTGCACTGGGTCTGGCTTTACCACCTACTGCCACAGTCTGGTCATGATGCTCAGACAACAAAACGCACAGGGCTCCTTTGTGGAGTCCTCTTTCCAAGCATCCCTGCCACTTGGGGCTTGTCACTGCGTGGGTTCCTGTGAGTCAGCTTGGGCGCGGGAAAGGCAGGTGAGGTGGCTGCTCGAAGCAGGGCCTCCCACCCCCATTGTGACACACCTGCAGAATACCTGCTCCCTTAATGCTTTGAAGGGGGAGACAAATGTCCTTCTCTCCAGCCCATGCCTCTTCCCACGGCCCTACAGCCCAGACCCCTGGCCCAGCAAGCTTCCCCAGGGCTCCTTGGGGAGGCTTAAGAGGGAGCAAGGATAAAGGGGGCAGGGGTGAGCTACCGTAGCCAGAGGGCCCAGTTTAAAGGCCCCCTCCCCTTCCAGGAAGTGGAGGCCCAGGTCCCTGGGTCTTCCTGCACTGTCACTGGGTCATGTCCTGAATGAAACAACCCTGGACCTCACTCCAAGAGACTCAAAGGCTAATTTCTGTTGATGGGGTGCGCCACAGAGCTGGTTGTTAAATGAGGCCCGGCCTATCTGTGTCAGGACGAACCCTGCTACACAGCCCCGTGGAGCCTGAGTGACAGCCAGCTTGCTGCTGGGCTGCTAGATGTTCTCTGGACTGAAAGGAGGGTCACCGACAGCAGGCCTCAGTTATATTAGCTTCCAGAGTAAGGACAGATGACAATATCAGTGATTCTAAGACCCTAAGACCTCACTGTTGACAGGCACAACAACAGATGCCACCCATCACGCTGAGGCGGATGAGGGCATCATAACTTGTCACTATCTGTGGGCACATTTTATTTCCAGAGAACCTTTGTGTGTATAACCTCTACCCACGTGCCAAATTTTGAGTTCATTAAAAACTATAGAAGATACGCCTCTTTTAGAACTCGCCACTCCCATTT